GCATTCCCTCAGTGAAAATTATTCCCTTTTGGGGTCTACGAAAAAGGAGCTCGGAGGATGGGCTTACCGACTTACCCTGTGCCCTGGATACGAATCACTCAGGGAAAACGAAAGTCCGGGGGTCTGGCGGGGATAATCAACGATTTTCCCGGGGAAGCGATGCTAGTTATACTTTGTGATGGTGATGGCGATGATGATGGTGATGATGATGATGATGATGGTGATCCTGGGCGCTCGTGTAGACTGACCTTGTAGATCTTGGCACTCGTGGATACAACTCGCCTGCGCAAGAGAGGTCCTTGGCGATTCTGGCCAAGAAGCCTCTCTTGCGCACGCCCATGCAGGCTCGGCACCCTTTGGAGCCGTCCCTGCACGGGAGGCACTTGGCGCATCCCCTAGCCCTGCCGCACGTTCGTGATTTGGGCAAACTGAACTGGTGAGAATCCCACAGCCCTGCCAGACGCTCGTGATTGCGGAAGCTGATATGGTGAGACCACCATGGCCACGCTCAGCAGTTTTTCATGCTGTTGCTAGCCAACATGAGATGATAGCAACTTCGATTCGCAACTTTCCCCGTGGATTATCAAGTTCGGCCTCCGCGCCCCTCTCCACAATTAAATTCGATTGAACCGGGATTACAAAAAAAAGGGCAGGGGGGGTACATTTTTATCCGGGGCACTCGGTTATCGTTGATGAATATTGTGTTTACACTGGTCCTCCTCCCCCTCGTCCTGCTCCTCATCCCTCCTGCCTGGAAGAGGCGCGCAGACTCTGGAGTCCTGCGACGCCAGGGGTCCGTGCGCCTGACCAGCTCTTTTCCTGTTGCTGCTCCTGCTTCTCCAATTCCTCCTCCAGCTCCTCCCCCTCCCTGTCCTCCTCTTTCTCCGCAGCTTCACGCCCAAGCCTCCCTCTGCTTGGACGAGGCCAACGAGGGCTACTCTGTTGACGCGGCGGCGCCCAAAGCCGCAGACAGTGATCGCGCAGGAAGTGCAGCACCACACCATGATCTGGAAGGAACTTAGCTGCTCCGATACGCAACACGCAAGCCGCAGCGTGTTGACACGGAGCTCAACACGTAGACTGAAAACGTAGGCCTCGCGCGATACGTTCGCCGAAACGCGTGCCAATACGTTGAGCCAACACGCAACTTATTGACACGTACGTTCTGAGCACGGTACGTGTTGCGTATCGAAACGAGCGTATCAAGACAGCGAAGGGAGGGAACCAAACAGTGCTTGGCGCTGCCAGGCACCCAATGGTCGGCTTGGCAAGCGCGGCGCCAAGGTAGCCAGTAAGGACGCAGCAGCCGCCACGTCTGACTCTGAGGACGTTGCCAAGGACCGCCACGGCACAGGACTAGGCTGCCTCGCAGCTGGCTTTAATATGCACTCCTGTCGGAAGCCCAGCGGGCTCCTCGTCGCGAGAGAATGCGAGTGCGCCCTCGTGCCGTCTGGACACAGCCGGGCCGGCAAACCAACGCGGATCACCTCCATGACTTCTGCTGCCGTCGGCCGAAGCCTTCTCAACATGGGACCCAGGCCGTGCGCGAGAGACCCCACACATAGCCAGGGAGCCCCGGGCGGCGGGCCCAAGGCACGTGTGCTAGGAAGGCGCGGTGCAACCGGCGGCCCAGACGCCGTCCGCGTGAGCCTCGTCACGGCCGCCCCCAGGGCGCGCAAGTCCGAGCGCAACTCCTTGTGGCAACCGGCCGTGGCCATCCTATGCCCCGTGACCCGGCAGGACGGCGCCGCCCGACTCCCGTGTTTCGGTGCGCTGCGGGACCTTGCCGCAGCGGCCTCCAGGCGGGGCAGGATGTCGGTCTCGCACTCCTGTGGGCAACGGAGCATCGCTCGGTGCCCACTCGGAGTTTCCTAGCTGCTCATTGCCAGACGCACAGCTCGACATGAGAGCGCATGCGCCGACGCCGTTGGCCCTCTTCTCTAGAGAGCAGGGGTCAACCAAGACCCAGGAGCTCACCAGGCATACGTCAAACCGGTTTCATCTACGGCCGCTCGCAGAAGGCCTAGTGACGGGCGAGCTCTTAACGGACGCGGTCGCCATCGTAATGCTGAACGTCAAGCGTCAAACAACTCCAGACAAAACAGAAAGTCAGGGCCTGTGCTGCTTTTCGGAGTGCCCAGGTGGTGCTAGATTGGAGCGCCCTGAAAGGGGCACGGGGCACCAAACGCGCAGGTTTTGCGAAGCTCGACCAAAGACGCGCAGACAGTCCAGACCAAACTCGCGCGGAGCGCACCAACCTGGACAATCAGAAGAGGAAGTTTGACAACCTGATAAGAATACACTGGTTGCCGCAGCCAGTGAGCGGCCGGGATGCGAGCGGGCAGCCGAATGCCTCCCACCGGGCGGCGCAGAATCTATCATATCCTGAACCGAGCGTGCAGGAGGCGCTGGACCACGCGCGCCACGAGAAGAATCTCTCTTGCGGACAGCGCCGAGGCTACATTAACAGGAAGGGGAGGAGGAGGAGGAGGAGGAGGAGGAGGAGGAGGAGGAGGAGGAGGAGGGAGGAGGAGGAGTGCACATATACCGAGGGGGGCGCGTCCACGAGCGCAGGCGACGGCCCCGGGAGGGGCGCGCCGCGGGCGACTGGGCCCTTGGTCCCGCCGCCGGTGCAGCCGCCAGCGCCGCCGTTGGCGCCAGCGTGCGCGCAGTCAGCGCACCGGCCCCGCCAGAGGCCTCAGCAGTGCGCTCAACGGCCAAGGGGAGGAGGAAGAGGAGGAGGAGGAGGAGGAGGAGGAGGAGGAGGAGGAGGACGAGGAGGATGATGGAGGCCAAAGCCACGAAGGCGGCAGGGGCATGTGCGAGCGGCGCAGCCGCCACTGCACGAGCACGAAGACTACTCCAACGGGCGGGCGGGGAGCAACCCAACGGCGAGGGCATCCTGGCCTCTGTGAGGTGAGGGCGACCCTGGTCGGCGAGGCGCACCTGAGTCTTCGACATCTGTCGCTCCCGCGCGCAGGCCCACTCGGTCGGCTCAGTCCTCCTCCCCCCTCCTCCTCCTCATCCCCCGCCCCCAGAGGAGCGGTGGTGTTCCAACTGTCGCCCCCGAGCCTGGGCCCTCAGGAAGAAGCCGGCAGGGCCTTGCCGCAAAACTTGCAGAAGCGGAAGTCCTTCTCCGCCTCTGGAGGGGGCCCCTCCTTGCGCCAACCGTTCCAGCCCCCCCCCGTCCCCCTCCACTGCTCTCGTGTCCCCCGCCCTGAGCTGGGGACAGACGGGGGCGGCGAGGGAAGCAGGAAGAAGTAGCAGGAGGGAGGGGAGGGGAACGGGGGACGGGCAGACTAGAACTCGTCATCACCACCACCACCCGCGGGGGGCAGAATCTGTGGATCTGGGATAATTACAAGTATGCAGCAGCCACCGCGGAGGTGACCAGGAAGGCATTTACCACCTCTGCGAGGGGCTGGGATTCATGCATATCCACCGCCCAGGGAACAAATCTCCCAGGACCCTAGAGGGCAGTTGGTGGATGTGTATATACATATATGTACGCATACATACACATATCTATATATATATATATATGTGCACGTGCGTGTAGAGGGAAAGGGAGAAATTAATAAAGAGGCACAAAACAAACACACACACACACATACACAACAAAGAGAACAAAGGAACAGACAAAGAAAGAGAGAGAGAGACTATATATCTTGATATGCTTCGGGGGGCAAATAGATAAATGTCCACAAACAAAGATCGGCGCTCTGGGCGGTGGAACTGGACAAACCCCAGCCTCGGCACCACTACCCGTCACGCCGCTCTCAGGGGCCTCCCCAATGGCATGGGACCAAATGGGATCGGACGATCGCGCCGTACCATCGACGATGCATCACCGATGCATCGACGATGCCTCGGTGACGTCGGCCACACATCGGCGACTTCCGTGCCGATGAACTCTGGCTCAGCACCGAGCCGCATCGGCGATGCGGCGCGATCCTCCGATCCCATCTGCCCTGACCCCCCACCTGGGAGGCGCAGATCTCTTCGCTGCCCCCCCTTCTCTGCCCAGAAGGGGGGGGGGGGGGGCAAAGAGGAGCCGAGGCGGGAGCCGAGGCGAGCCGCGAAGGCCGGCGCGCAGAAGCTCCTCCGGCCGACGGGGGGGGGGGGGACGACGACGGGCCGCCAGCGGCGAGACGGATCGCCGGCGGATCGGCGCTGGGCCCCGGTAGCGAATCCGCACGCTCTTCGGCGAGGCGGGGCTCTGTCGGGCCCACTCTCTCTGCGATCCAGGAGCGGGCGGGGGGTCCGACGCGTGATCCCTGACGCTGCACCTTTGGCCTCCCGCCGCCGTGGAGGGCCACCAGGCGTACTCGTAGGCCCGGAGGAGGAGGAGAGGAGGAGGAGGAGGAGGAAAAGGAGGAGGAGGAGGAGGAGGAAAAGGAGGAGGAGGAGGAGGAGGAGGAGGAGGAGGAGGAGGAGGGGGAGAAGGAGGAGGATGAGGAGGAGGAGGAGGAGGAGGAAGAGGAGGAGGAGGTGGACGGGCGTCTCGCCTGCCTGCAGCCCCTGGCAGGCCATGCTACACCGAAGCGTGAGATCACCGGCAGTTGCACGGACGGAGGGCCGGTCGTGTGCAGAGAGCGTGGCGTTCGCCATCGCGCCACGCACACATTGAGGTCAGACGTTCCCAACAATTGCGCGGGTGGAGACCTTAGCGGGCCCTGGAAACGACAAGGCCGTTTTTTTACCGGTTCCGTTCTGCCGTTTTTGTTGCCGGTTCCGACGCCGTTGTTGTTACTGGTTCCGTCGCCGTTATTGTTACCGGTTCCGGCTCTGGTTCCAATCCCGGAGCCATTTTTTGCCGTTTCGGGTCGCCGTTTCTTTGCCGTTTCCATTTTCAAGGGACAATTTTTGGGAAACGGTGAAAAAACGGCCCTGCCGTTTCTGGGGCCCACAAAGGTGGAGACCAGCACATTGACAGCACGAGACTCTCGCCTCATGCCTCCTTCACGAATAGCGCCACGGTCGGGAGCTCTGCAGCACTTGCGCACTGCTGGAGACCGACACGCTGTTAAAAGATGGCTCTCGCCTCGGAGTTCTTCAACACACATTACCACAGTCGCAACATGTTGCAATAGGTACATGGATGGAGGGCGGTTCCTTTCCGGAACGGGGCTCGCGTGGCTGTCGCTGGGTACTCCCTTGAACCTAAAACCCCCGCCTTGCTGCAGATCTTGTTGCTCGAAGGCTGGAGGACGGCCTTCTTCGAAATGGAGCTGCCGCATGCATTTCGGGCCAATGTGGCGAAGGCACAGATTTTCAGGGGGGGGCGCAGTGAATGAGGATGCTTGTCCGCACAACTGGGGAGGTGACTTGGGACGTGAGGGTGCATTGCAGCATCGCTTATACACATTACTGTGCTACTCTCGTGCTTCCTCCTGCTCATCCATCTCCTCCTGATTACTCATCCTCCCTCGCCCCCTCTCCCTCTTCCTCCTACTCCTCCTTCCCTTCCTCTTCCTCGTCCTCCTGCTCCTCCTCTTTCTCCCTCTCCTTCTCCTCCTCCTCTTCCTCCTCCTCCTCCTCGTCCTCCTCCTCCTCCTCCTCCTGTCCGCTCCTCTCTTCGGTTATCTTCCTCCTCCTACAGCTTGTCCTGCTCCTCACCACCCTCGCCTCCTCTCCATCCTTCCCCCTCTCCTTCCGCCATTCCCCTTCTCCACCCCCCCTCCCCCTCGCCCTCCTCGCCGCCCTCCTCCTCCTCCTCCTCCTCCTCCCCTTCCCCTCCTCCTCCTCCTCCTCCTCCTCCTCCTCCTCCTCCTCCTCCTCCTCCTCCTCCTCCTCCTCCTCCTCCTCCTCCTCCTCCTCCTCCTCCTCCACCTCCTCCTCCTCTCCCTCCTCCTCCTACTCCTCCTCCTCCTCCTCCCCCCCCCCCCCATCCTCCTCCTCCTCCTCCTCCTCCTCCTCCTCCTCCTCCTCCCTTCCGCCTCCTCCTCCTCCTCCTCCTCCTCCGCCCTCCTCCCCTCCTCCTCCTCCTCCTCCTCCTCCGCCTCCTCCTTCCGCCTCCTCCTCCTCCTCCTCCTCCTCCTCCTCCTCCTCCTCCTCCTCTCCTCCTCCTCCCCTCCTCCTCCTCCTCCTCCCTCCTGCTCCTCCTCCCTCCTCCTCTCCTCTGCCTCCTCCCTCCTCCTCCTCCGCCTCCTCCGCCCTCCTCCGCCTTCCTCCGCCACCTCCGCCCTCCTCCTCCGCCTCCTCCTCTGCTCCTCCGCCTCCTCTCCGCCATTTCCCCTTCTCCACCCCCCCTCCCCCTCGCCCCTCCTCGCCGCCCTCCTCCTCCTCCTCCTCCTCCTCCTCCTCCTCCTCCTCCTCCTCCTCCTCCTCCTCCTCCTCCTCCTCCTCCTGCGCCTCGCCCCTCGAGGAGGTAGAGGGCCGAGAGCGACGCGACGACGGGCCCCAGACGAGGAGGGTAACCCGCTTGCTCTCTCGAAGGGTCCCTCCAGAAAGCCTTGCCGCCGCAGTACGGGCAGAAGCACACGTTGAGCCGCGGGCCGTGGCTCGTGCCGGCGGCGGGGTCGGCCTCAGCAGCCCCCGACTGGAGGTCCTCCTGGCGGATCGCAGCGGGGGGGGGGGCGGAGGACGAGCTGGAGAAGCTGGAGGGGGAAGCTGCCCCTTGGTCTCTGCAGTCGAGGCGTTGACCCAAGGAACCCAAATAAGGAACGGGGCCCCTATTTTCCACAAGTTGAACTTCGATCTCGTATCGGAAACCTAGGGAAAATCCGAGGCAAGCTGCGAAACAATCAAGGAACACGGAGCCCCTCCCCAACGAAAAGGGTTCCTTCTTCAGGGCCCCGACTGTACCGTGGGGGAGGCGGACGTGCAGGCGAAGGGGCGTGCACAAGTCGGGCGGACCCCAAAAGGGGGCCCAGAGGCAGGAGGGTGGTGCCATAGATCTGGTGCAACAGATTTGTGGGGGTGCTACACACTCGGGGCGTGCAATACCTTCCGCGGCGCAAAATGTATGGCTGGATTCTCGCGTGCAGTCTATCCCTTGCAATACTATGCAGTACAATTCTCCGGCGCAGTACGTTTGCAATACGATTGTCCCAAATCTGTTGCACCACCCGCTTTCAGCTGGACCCCATTTTGGGTCACACCCGAACAAGCAGGAGCAACCACAGTCGCCTCTGGGCGCCCCAGCGGCCGGGCACCGGCGTCCGCGACCGGAAGCTGCGCCGCTGCGTCGATGAGGCTCATGCGGCCGCGTCGGCGCCGCTGGGTTTGCCCCGAGCCCGACGCCTGATTGGCGGCCCCCCCCGTGCCTTCGCCTCTGCCTCATCCCGGCCTCCGCCTCCTCCCCGCATAGACATCTGCATCATCCTCCTCCGTCGCAGCCGCTTCCTCTTCCTCCTCCTCCTCCTCCTCCTCCTCCTCCTCCTCCTCCTCCTCCTCCTCCTCCTCCGCAGCCACCGCCGCCTCCTCCGCCGCATTCCCCTCCCCGTCTGCCTTTCCCTCCTCTTGCTACCCTTCCCCCCTCCTCCCCGCTCTCCTTCTTCTCTTCTCCTTCTCCGTTCTCGGGCTGTCCCTGCCTCGTCTTCCTCCTGTGCCCTTTCCTCAGGCCCCCCCTGCGCCAGCTGCCCCTCCATCTTTCTGCTTCTCCTCATCCCTCTCGTTCGCCTCCCCTCCCACCCCTCTCTCTCCTCTCTCCTCCGCTCCTCTCTCTCCTCTCTCCTCTCCCCCTCTCCTCTCCCCTCCTCTCCTCCTCTCCACTCTCTCCTCCTCCTCCTCCTCCTCCTCCTCCTCCTCCTCCTCCTCCTCCTCCTCCTCTCCTCCTCCTCCTCCTCCTCCTCCTTCCCTTCTCCTCTCCCCTCCTCCTCCTCCTTAGTCCTCAAATCAAAAAGGTCGTCGAAACGTTGCCCTCCTCCGCCTACTTCCTCCTCCTCCTCCTCCTCCCCTCCTCCTCCTCCTCCTCCTCCTCCTCCTCCTCCTCCTCCTCCTCCTCCATGCATGTGTTCCTCGCCCTCCCCCTGCCTCTCTCCCCGTCGCCATCCCGGCCCGTCTTGGCTTTTCAAGCGTGCCCAACATCGACGGCCGGGAGCTCGAGGGCCTCTCGAGGCGTGCGTGTGCACGCCGGGCATGCAGCCTCCCGGGTCCCCCGCCTCTAACGTGACACTGCCATCGGCCCCCTTCCGCCAGGGCTGGGCCTAGAGGGTGCTGCTCGCGTCGTTGCTGTGCCACTGGGCCCCTCCGCCCAGGCGACAGCCAAGGCGAAGTCCGAAACCCAGCAAGACGGCGTTCAGGTCCAGCCCTGCCTCCCTCTGAAGTCCCGAAACGGTGCGGTGAAAGACCGCGCGGTGACCTCGAGATCCCCCAAGGCCTCACCGCACGGTCCGTCAACGCACGGCCTTGGGACCTCGGATGCCCCAGCCGCCCGAGACGTCCTCGGAGAACGACCCGGGTCCCAAAACCGTGCGGTGAGTCCCCGAATCCCCACCGGCTCACCACGCGGTGTGGTCACCACCCCCCGCTGCCCGAGCGGCTCGGAGGGCCACGGGCGGCATCCCCGCGAGCCGTGCGTGCTCGGCGGAGGGCGGCTGCGCCTCGGACGCCACCAGGAAAGCCCGTGCGGCCGCGCAGCCCCGCCGGCTCTCTCTTCCAGCACAATCCCGGACACGGGTGCCCCCAGGGCCCGCCTGCCTGCCCGCCTCTGCCCCGGCCCCTTCCTGCGGGCCCCGAGCATAGAGGCACCACCACCACCACGTCGACTCCTCCTCCCTCCTCTGCCCTCCTGCTCCTGTCCTCCCTCCTGGGGGAGGGAGGGGGGGAGAGGGTGGGGGAGGTGGTGGTGGTGGTGTGGGGAAACCCCCAAGGGTCCCCATACCGCTACTCCCCGGACCTCTCCCGGGGCGCGTTCTGACCAGGATTTCGAAGCGAATCCAGCGGCGGCGACGAGGGCCGCCGAGGAGGCCCGAAAAGGGGAACACGGGCGCAGGGCCTAGGGTAGAGGTATGGGTACCTTGTGCCCCTCTGAGGTGAGGGAGGTGGTGGTGGTGGTGTACATCTTTGGGCCCTGTGCTTCCTTCGCCCCCCCCCCCCGCACCCCTGGCCTGCTTGGCGGCGCCCGCCCCGCTCGCCCTCGAGGGTTGGCGCAGGAACAGCGGCCGCAGGCTTGGGTCGCCCCGGCTCACGCGCGCGCTGGCGTAGTGCGCGTGGTTGGCGTCGAAGCCCTGGCAGGGAGAAGGAAACTCGACTCAATATAGGAACGAGGAAACTCAGACATGATCGCGTCGCAAAAAGAATCAGCACTGCCAGTTTTTGGTGGTCATTTTCAGCCCCGGTTGGGCCCTTACCGACCCTCCGGACCGTCAAAAAACGACTCAGGACGAAAAACCGGCCCCGGGGAACGGGTCGGGACTTCCAGGGACGCCGTCCTGAAAAAATCAGGACGTCGCATGTCTGGAAAGGCGACACCAACACAACCAGGGCGGGGAGATGCGAGGAGGCAGGAGGGGTCTCCCTGGTGGTGTGGTCCCCCCCCTCTCGCTCGAGACATCCCCGGCCTCCAGCTCGGGGAGGCATCGTGGACCTCCTCGCTGGAGGTGGGCCCCTGGTAGTGCTGGTATCGCTTCTCCTCCCTATTGGAATCACATGCGAATTGGCGGAGGGAATGTCACCAGGTCGAGTTCTGCGTGGCTCCTTGGCGCCGCCAGCTATTCCACAAAGTGCCGATCGGTCTCTAAGCGTGTGTCAGCAAGCGGCTTGCCTGGGATGCCTGGCTGGTGGGTGGTTCGTGCGCACCCCGCGCATGCCCGAGGAAGGACGACTTCATATTTACAAAAGCTTTCGGAGCTCCGCGCGGAGTCCTTGGACCAACGCTGGGCACCCATGGCGGCGCCTCTGGCTCCGCCCCCGGCGCGCTCCGCGCGCTCAGTGCCGATCCCAGGACTCCGCGCGACCCTCCGAAAGTTTGCGCCCGTGCCGCTGCTTCTTTTTTTGGAGGCCTGGAAATGGGCACCAACACCAACACGGGGGGTTGCCTCCACAGGGGGAAGGTGATCCTAGATTTCGGTGTGGGTGGTAATATTTTGGCCACCTTGGAAGCCATAAGATTACCACCATCACCGAGATCGGATCCTCTTCCCTCGATGGAGGCACACCGCCGATATTGGTGTTGGTGTCAACCTCTAGGCCTGCGATTTTTCGCCTTCCGGCGGGGCACTACCCGCCGCCGCCAGGGCCCCCTCCGGGCCCAAAACCTGGGGGGAAGGGGCCCGACGCACACGCCGAGGCGCCCGGTCGCCCGGGGGGCTCGGTCTGTGCAGACCCCCCCCCCGCTGCCCGGCCCGTGCTCCTTGGCGCCGGGCTCCTCCTCCTCCTCCTCCTCCTCCTCCTCCTCCTCCTCCTTCTCCTCTTCTCCTGGCCGGCCAAAAAAAACGCGTGTATACACAACGGAACAGTGTTGGAGGATCTCGGTGGGTACGGCCCCAAGACGTCCGCCGAGGTCTGGGCAGACAGAGAGCCTGGCCCAAGGAGGCCTGGCGGCGGTGGCCGTATCTGGGCGACCCAAGAGGGGGTCCAGCTGCAAGGGGGTGGTGCAATAGCATTGGGGCAATTGTATTGCAAATGCATTGCGCCGGAGAATTGTATTGCATTGTATTGCAAGGAGTGTACTGCACGCGAAAATCCAGCAATACATCTGCGCCCCAGAATGTATTGCACGCCCCAAACGCATTGCAACCCCACAAATCTATTGCACCAAATCTATTGCACCACCCCCTTGTCGCTGGACCCCCTTTTGGGTCAACCCGAATGTACGCTCCCTCTGTCCCAGCCTGGAGCGTGGCGGGCATCACGGTGATCACCTTGCCAGAGTTGAAGTTGCCTATCCGCCGACCCTCGAAATAACTCCTGAACATCCACGACTGCGCCGGGCCGACAAAGTTAATGAATGCGTATCCCCGATTCGCCTTTGTGTCGGGATCGATGGGGAGGTAGAGGAAGTCGTACGTGCCAGCGAAGCCCGCCAGATTGATCTCCTGTGACCGGACATCTGCCAGCGCTGACTCCAGACAGGGAGTTGCTGTGCATCAAAACAATGTCTGATGGCATGCAAGCGACCTCGCCACGTACTCTACTCGGTTAATGCGTGTCCAGGCTATTAACACTTAGCCTCTGTCCTCTATGAGAACTACCCTCCTTGTTAAGCCAATTCTTGGATGACATCGTCAATGGCAAGGGGCGTCGCGAAATTGATATTCACTTTCTTGCGCGGCCTTGCGCATAGACTGACCGCTGCACTTCAGCCACCTCATGGACTGGCCGCTGAATTTACGCGCGCGCTCACTTCCGCTATGGCCCCAGGTAGTCCCGAAGGCGCGTCAAGCTCTACGATTAGGAGGATGTGTCGGAATGATCGCGTTCCGCAGCTAGTTGGGCGCCCGACTTACCTGGCATAACTGCGGTGCGCGGAAACTCCGGTTTGGATCCCCGAGGCATCCGTGGCTACCCCTGACCTTAGTGGGCCCTGGAAACGACAGGGCCGTTTTTTTACCGGTTCCGTTTTGCCGTTTTTTTGCCGGTTCCGACGCCGTTTTTTTACCGGTTCCGTCGCCGTTTTTTGACCGGTTCCGGCTCCGGTTCCAATCCTCGAGCCGTTTTTTTGCCGTTTCCGGTCGCCGTTTTTTTGCCGTTTCCATTTTCAAGGGGCATTTTTTGAAAACAGTGAAAAAACGGCCCTGCCGTTTCCGGGGCCCACAAAGCCCCTGACCGCCCCCAGCCCTGATGATTCGGGAGGGTGGGACGCCCCAAATATCCGAGACAATTGCGGCCTGGGGTAGCTCCGGCTTGGGCCCCCCAGGACGTGAATCTGTAGCTTCCCCTGATCAGCCCTGATGGTTCGGAGCTCCGAACCAGGCAGGCTCGGCCCTTCTCTTAAACCAGGAGGCGTCCAAGGTTGCTTGCCTCCTGGATTGGCAGGCGACCAACACTGGCTCCCTTAAGCCAGGAGGCAACCGAGCTCGGTTCTCTTGAACCACGAGGCAACCAGTCCTGTGACCCCCAACCCCCAGGGGTCGGAGGCCACAAGGCCGAAGGCTGTAGCATCAGCAGGGGCCGTGCAGCAGGGGCGTGGAGGCGAGGACGCGCGAGCATTCCTCTGCAAGACGCGTTGCGACACACTTTGAAGGGGCCCAAGGACACACAAATGACCATATTTGCTGGATGTTTGTCTTCCCCCCCACTTCCCATATGTTCCCATATTCTCGTGGGAATCGACGATTCACTGTGTCTGCGTGCTTTTTCCATTCACTGTGTCGAGCCCGTCGGCAAGCCCACGTGCCGCCGCGCCACCTGCTCTCGCCGCGCCCAAGGAGGACGGCGCCGGCACCACGGCAGACCCACGGCGGGCCCTGCGCCCCGCGCCCCGGGCAGGCGAGGCCGGCACCGCAGCAGAGCCACGGCGCGCCCACCGCGTCCGCGGCGGCCGCTGCCCTGGTGGCCGAGGCACCCTCCCCAAGACGGGAGGCCTCGCGTCTGAGCCAGCGGCGCGACGGCATGTGCCTGCCGGCCTGAGGATATGACCTTCTCCCGCCTCCTCCGCTCCACTCCACTCTGCCGGCAGTCCCAGGCGCAGCCGCATGCACTTCTCAAGGAATCCGCGGGCGTAGCCAGCATCGCACGAGGGCAGAATATGGTGGGGCGCAGGCTAGGCTACTTGTCCTACTCCCTTCGAGCTGCAGCCGGGAGCTCCACAACAAAACTACAAGCAAGCCTGCGTGGATGCAGCTCCACCGAGGCGCTCCATCGTGGCAAGCGGCTGTCTCTGGGGCGGCCGCAATGACTCCAATCCCGTCACTAAGTGCAGCATGGGCACATGCAGTTTCAGGCCACCCTCACGACGAACGAACAGCACACACCCATATCCACAGGGGGGTCGGAAGGAGGAGGACTGGCTATGGGTACGGGTGCGGGTTGTCGGACCCCCGGGGAGGCTGCCCTTCGAGCGGGGACCCCCGTTTGACAACACGCGCCCATAACCTCCTCCGCCCCACCCTGTGTGCGTGCGTGCGTGCGTGCGTGCGTGCGTGCGTGCGTGCGTGCGTGCGTGCGTGCGTGCGTGCGTGCGTGCGTGTGTGTGTGTGTGTGTGTGTGTGTGTGTGTGTGTGTGTGTGTGGGTGTGCGTGTGCGTGTGCGTGTGCGTGTGCGTGTGTGTGTGTGCGTGTGTGCTGTCCGCTCGCCCGCTTCAGGCCATCCTCGGGGCAGGGCGAGCGTCTCCCAGCGGGCAGCCCATCTTCGGAAGCCTCTGTCGGCCGCCGCCTCTGCGACCAGCAGGCCCGCGACCCGTCCCCCGGAAACCAGCACGGCGAGACACCTCGGGACCCGCCGTTCGAGGGGGACCGGGGCGCGCACGAAGATTCCCGCATGTGCATGGGAATCGAGGATGAGCTGTGTCTGTGTGTGGTGTGTGTATGTATGTGTGTGTAGGTATGTGTGTGTGTCTGTGTGTGTATGTGTGGTGTGGTGTGGTGTGGTGTGGTGTGGTGTGGTGTGGTGTGGTGTGGTGTGGTGTGGTGTGGTGTGGTGTGGTGTGGTGTGGTGTGGTGTGGTGTGGTGTGGTGTGTGTGTGTGTGTGTGTCTGTGTGTGTCTGTGCGTGCGTGCGTGCGCGCGCGCGTGCGTGCGTGCGTGCGTGCGTGAGTGTGAGTGTGAGTGTGAGTGTGAGTGTGAGTGTGAGTGTGAGTGTGTGTGAGTGCGAGTGTGAGTGTGTGTGTGTGTGTGTGAGTGTGTGTGTGTGTGTTTTCCCCTCCCGGGCTCTCCTCCTACTGGGGACAAGCCAAGGGAGGAAAATGCACCCCCGCTGCGAGGCTGCTGGACGGACGAGCGCGCGAGAGGGCGCGCGGGACAGCGGGCGCCTGGCGGGACCCGGCAGTGCGGCCCCGGCAGCGCGGGGGAGGGCGAGGGCCCCAGGGCACCCGCTGGGATCGCCCCCCCCCCCCCCGCGCCCCACGGACCCCGCTGGCAAAAATCTGCCCCTGGACCTGTCCTGGGGTGCGTTTCGACCCGGAGGATTCCTGGACCGCGTTCCGTTCATACTGGGAACCTCCCGGTGGCAAATCAAAGAGAAGCACAGGAGTCCCACAGGGAGCACGGGGAGGCCGAACACGTTCGGTTCAGCACGGGCACATTGCATGTCGGCATCGTGCTCCCGCCTCAATGCTGGCTACACGCTTGATCCAGACGGCCACGACCCTGGGTGAAACAGGGAATGAAAAACAAATCGTCTCCTAAAACCTATCTAAGATTATGCTAACGGAGTTCCCCACATGAGGTTTTTAATTGGGGCGTGGACTTACAGGGGGGGCGCAGAAGGTGTAGGAAGATGGATAGAGGGGGACAACGAGAGCGACGCTATCGAACGGCATACAAGACTCTTGCGAAATTGCCCCGTTCTTCTAGCGGCCGTGATCTCGGTGGGAGGGGCACGCAATCTGATAAATAGCATGGTTTTCGAATACCCTCCTCGCTCAGGCGGGGCCTCCTTGGAGGAGTGGGAGGGGCACGGCACCTGATAAATAACATGGTTTTCGAATATTCTCCTCGCTCAGGCGGGGCCTCCCTGGAGGAGTGGGAGGGGCACGAAACCTTATGAATAGCATGGTTCTCGAATACCCTCCTCTGTAAGACAGGGCCTCCCTGGAGGAGTGGGAGGGGCACGACACCTGATAAATAACATGGTTTTCAAAGACCCTCCTCACTCAGGCGGGGCCTCAACTGGAGGAATGGGAGGGGCACGAAACCTGATAAATAACATGGTTTTCGAATACTCTCCTCGCTCAGGCGGGGCCTCCTTGGAGGAGTGGGAGGGGCACGAAACCTGATAGATAACATGGGTTTCGAATACCATCCACGATCAAGCGGGGCCTCCCTGGAGGAGTGGGAGGGGCACAAAACCTGGTACATAGAATGGTTTTCGAATATCCTCCTCGCTCAGGCGGGGCCTCCTTGGAGTGGGAGGGGCACGCAACCCGATACATAAAATTGCTTTCGAATACCATCCTCGCTCAGGCGGGGCGCACGGCACCTGATAAATAATAGGGTTTTCGAATACTCTCCTCGCTCAGGAGTGGCCTCTCTGGAGGAGTGGGAGGGGCACAAAACTTAATACATAACATGGTTTTCGAATACCTCCTCGCTCAGGCAGGGCCTCTCTGGAAGAGTGGGAGGGGCACGACACCTGAAAAATAATATGGTTTTCGAAAACCCACCTCGCTCAGGCGGGGCCTCCCTGGAGGAGTGGGAGGGGCACGAAACCTGATAAATGCATCCCCAGGCCGAAAATTCTTTCCTCTCGGACTCAAAATATGGGAACACCGATGGATCCAAGTGGATCCATTTTCGGGTGTGCGACAGTGTCGTGGATCCTAGTTCTGCCTTGCGCGGGTCAAATTTCCCGTGTGTGAACAACCAATAGATCAATTCATTGTCCTGGCATGGGAATAGATGCATATATATATATATATATACATACATACATACATACATACATACATACATGCATGCATGCATGCATGCATGCATGCATACATACATACATACATACATACATACATGTTAATAATAAAAACTAAGAATACTTAACATCCTGGACCCAGAGGAAATGGGATCCGCGGGGCACCGCACGTGAAGCATCATGTTATCCACGGAACTGTGGATCTGCTGACCAACGCTATGATTATGCGGGGGATGGGGGGTCTTCCCAGGACGGAGAGGGGAAGGAGGAGGGCGGAAGCACGAGGAGAGGGGTACATGTATCCGCTCACCTGAAAGGCACGTCACTTCCGACATTTGGGTCTCACGAGCAAAATCTTTCAGCCTGCGTGAGTAACATGGCTTTCGAATACCCTCCTCGCTCAGGCGAGGCCTCCCTGAAGGAGTGGGAGGGGCACGAAACCTGACAAATAGCATGGTTTTCGAAGACCCTCCTCGCTCAGGAGGGGCCTCCCTGGAGGAGTGGGAGGGGCACGAAACCTTGTAAATGGTATGGTATCCCGATACTCTCCTCGCTCAGGCGGGGCCTCCCTGGAATGGTAGGTATGGTATGGCAGCTTTGGTATTGTAGTAGTGGTATTAGTATGGTCGATGGTGTGGTATGGTTGGTATGGTATGGCAGGTTTGGTATTGGCATGGTATGGCAGATCGGATGTGTGGTAGGAGCGGTATGGTTGGTATGGAATGGTACGTATGGTATGGTAGGGTAGGGAGGCGGGGGAAGGAGAAGGAGGAGAAGGAGAGGGAGAGGGCGCTCCAGGAAAACAGCGGCCCCCGAGACCTCACCACGACTCCCTCAGGCGTCGTGCCCTCCCCGTCCGTGCTCGCTGCATGCTTGGGCCGGACGGCCACGGCCCCGCGGGTCCCACAGATCCCACGGGCCTCTCGGGTCCCCGGGGGGTCTCGCAGGGCCCGCCCGCCCGTCCCCCGGGTCCCGCCCACGAGTCGCACAGGTCCACAGTTCCCACCTCCCCCACGGATCCCACGGGTCTCGCAGGTCCCAGGAGTCGCAGAGGTCCAGGCCCCGCGGGGCCCACAGGTTGCACAAGACCCACAGGTCCCGCCTGCCCCACACGCCCCACAGATGCCACACGTCTCCCCAGACCCCACAGGTCCGAAAGCCCGCCAGGTGCTACAATTTCCGCAGGTCCCAGAGGTCCCACAAGTCCCACAGGTCCGGCAGGTCCCGCAAGTCCCGCAGGTCGTCCAGGTCGCACAGGTCTCGCGGTCCCACAGGCACCGCAGGTCCCACAGGACTCACATGCCGCCCAGGTGCCACACATCCCACAAGTCCCACAGGTCGCACAGGTACTAAGGCCCCAGAAGTTCCAAAAGTCCCACAGGTTCCACAGCTCCCACAAGTGTCCCACAGGTCCTCCAAGTCTCACAGGTCCCATAAGCCCCACAGCTCTAGCAGGTCCCACAGGTCCCACAGGTCCCAGATGCCCCACAGGCTCCAACGGTGCGACAGGTTTCGAAGATCTCAACGGTCGCACAAGTCCACAAATCCCACCTGCCCCAAAAGTCCCACAGGTCTCGCAGGTCTCACAGGTCCCAGATGTCACAGTGCCCCCAAGTCCCACATGTCCAGCACAAGTCCCGCAGGTCCCACAGGATCCACTTGCCCGACAGGCCCCGTAGGTGCCACACATCCCACAGGTCCCACAGGTTCCTCAGGTCGTGCAGGCCGCAGGCCACAGGTCCCACGGGTCCCACAGGCACGAAGGTGCCACATGTTCCACAGGTCCCACAGGTCTCGCAGGCAGCACAGTTCCTACTGGCACCACAGATTCCTCCGGTGACGTCCCACAGGCCGCACAAGTTCACAATAACGATGTGCCCAACCAGTCCGACGTGTCCTCCAAGTCTCACAGGCCCCACAGGTCACAAAGGTCCCCCAGGTCGCACGGCCCCACAGGTAGCACAGGTCCTGTGGTCCCCATCTGCCCTACGAGTCCCACAGATCACGCAGGTCCCACAGGTGCCACAGGTGCCAGCGGTCCCATGTGTGCAGCGGGTCCTACGTGTCGTACGACGCCACAAGCCCCCCCAGGTCCCACAGGCCCGATAAGCGGGCACTAAGGTCCCACATGTTACACGGGTCCCTCCAGGTCCCTCCAGGTCCCACAGGTCTCGCGGTTCCGACGGGTCCCGCAGGCCGCACAGGTCCCACAGGCCTAACAAGTGCCCTAGGTCCCACAGGACCCACAAGTCCCACGGGCCCCACAGGTCCCGCAGGTGATAAAGGCTGCACAAGTCTCATAGGTCCCACACCACAGGTCACACACGTCTCACAGGTCCCACGGGTCTCATAAATCCCACAGGTCCCACGGGTCCCAAAAGGACCCACATGCCCCACAGGCCCCACAGGCCGTACAGGCCCTAGAAGTCCCACAAGTCAGACTGGCTCCACAAACCCAACAAGTCCCATAGGTTGCAAAGGCCCCAGAGGTCCCACAGGCCAAACGGTTCCCAGACGCCCTTTGTTGCTATTAGCGTGCTTTCCTGGAGTGGCCCTTCCTGAATAGCGTTCCTGGAAAGAGAAATTATCCCAGTGCGACCCTACCTAGGAGGTGGAGTCTCTGGGAAAGCAACATGAGTGGATGCTGTGCGAAGCTATGCTATGCTATGCTATGCTCTGCTATGCTATGCTATGCTGCGCAATGCTATGCTGGGCTAGGCTAGGCTAGGCTATGCTATGCTATGCGATGCTGCGCTATGCTATGCTGCGCTATGCTATGCTATGCTATGCTATGCTTTTGCTTTGCATTCGCTTTTGCCTTCACGTTTACCTGCACTTCTGCTTTTGCTTGGCACCCAGGGAGCGCAACTGGGGGAACCGCGCGTTAGCTTTTACCTTCACTGTTGCTTTTGCTTGGCACCCAGGGACGTAACTGGGGGAACCGGGGAACCGCGGGGCGGATGCCGGGGGAACCGCCCGGGGCGAGATCCACTGCCCGGCCCTTTAAGCACACAGGGTAAGAACCCTTCTAGGCAGAGCCTAGGTAGGGAAAAAAAACAGAAGACCCCCACAGGCCGGACGGACAGGCTGAGGACGCCATATCCAGCACGGCCTGGCGGCAGTTCCGCATTAGACGTCCTCACAATGTATTTGGGAATCGTGCTCTGGCCTCAATGCTGGCGACATGTTCCATTCGGCCACGATCCCCTGTTAACAACACGCTGACTTGTACGTGGCTGTGTTCTCAACCCTGTCCTGGCTGGGCTTCGCTGATCGAATATGTATCTATAATATACATAAATATATAGATGCACAGATGTATACGCATACGCGTAGTTCAACCCAAACAAGAGAGCACCACGATGGGGACGGGGAGCCCGCCGGCTCGGTCCGGCGGCGGTTTCGCTCGAGACTTCCTCACAACTTACTCCAGAATCGTGCCCTCCTCTTCTCACTGCCTCTCTTTCTTCTCTCAATCCTTTTCAATGCCTTCTTTCTCAATGCCTTCTTCTCAATGCCTTCTAGCTGCGGCATCTGGAAATGAGGCGAGGGGAGGATCTGGACTACTGTGAGGACCATCCGGCGAAGGGGGGGTCTGAAACGCCATGCAAGCAAATCTGCCTGAATCTAAAGAGCGACGCGCTCCAGACACGACTTCCTGCAAAAATGCACTCAAGTGCACCTGTCCGTGATCTCTGTGTTCTTCCTGCTCTTTGTCTTTCCAATCCCGCATACGATTCTTGGACACAAACTTCCGGCTGTTCGTGTTGCTATCACACCACTCCCGCGAAAGCTTCTGACTCAAAAGTGAAGACCGTACTGCACTGCGTGCGGTTCCTAAGAAGAAGTGGGACTACGTCAGTATGCAAGCGATTTATTCGCCATCCTCCCTAATCCTCGTCCCGCCTCGCTGCCATTTGTGCGCTCTGCAGGGATAATGTCTGTCCAAAGCAATTCCGGAGAGGACGGGAAGGACGACAGAAGAGGGCGCAACCACCAAGCCGAACAGCCACCCGTCACTCTATGCACGCAGCGAAGGGACGCTGGGAGCGCGAAGCGAGGTGCAAAAGGACTACAGAGCCAAGGGAGGAAGGCGGAAGCAGAGAAGGGGAAGGTGTCAAGAAGTGTCGGCCGCAGACCGCATCCTGGGCCAGGATACTCATCGCTCGGAAGAAGTCAGTAGAAGCATGAAGTAGGACGGCATTGGAAGTAGATTGGGTATCCGCCCGCCCCCGAAAGAGGACGGAAAAGGTGAAGCCACTCGATCATTGAAGTAGGAAGACGCTTAGAGAAGATTGGAATCTGGGACTCCAGAAAATCCATACTTTCAACGACCGATGGGTACCGCTACTCCCCAGACCTATCCTTGTGTGCGTTCTGATCAGGATTTCGAGGCGAATCCAGCGGTGGCGACGACGGCAGCCTGGGAGGCCCAAAAAGGGGAACACGAGGGGAGGGAAGAGGTACGGGTGTCTCTTTCCTCCTCCGAGTAGACAAAAGTCCGAGGCCTAGAACATGTGCGTTGCGACACGGACTTCCAAGCGGACT